TCTAGAACCTGATCCAAAAATCTTATTTTCAATTTGTTATCATATTTAGGATGTTGAAGCACTATGGAACTTCTATAGTTTGTTTATATTACCAGTTTTCTCATAAATCATAACAAAATTGGAAGTTCTACAGGTATGAGCTGCATTATCAAATGATAACTTTTGGAAAGGTATGCACATAATTTAACAACAAATACGAATACACATGAAATAGATTTCTTAAAAAAAAAAAACTAAATTCAGTTGTGTTGTTTAATATACAGGTGTTTTGCACCAAAAGCAAACCAAATTGTAATGCATGCCCAATGAGAGGAGATTGCAGGCACTTTGCTAGTGCATTTGCTAGGTAACTTTCTAATATTCAGAACAATATGGATTTCATATTGCATGTACTAGTGTCCTAGTGTAAAAGACGAACTACTTGCCTGTACATAATATTTTTTGCACAATTGCATGTACTAGTGTAAAAGACGAATTGCATGGATTTTTTGCACAATTGCATGGATTTCATATTCAGAACAATTGCATGGATTTCAGAACAATTGCATGGATTTTTTGCCTGTACATAATATTTTTTGCACAATTACATGGATTTCATATTCAGAACAATTGCATGTACTAGTGTAAAAGACGAACTACTTGCCTGTACATAATATTTTTTGCACAGTAGTGTTTGATAGATATCATACAACACAGTATATGAACTTCTTCAAATGCTTATGGACAATCCAATCTTTTTCGAGACTATACATTCATAAAACCTTCAGAAAGAATTAATTATAAGACAATAGTGTATTCTATATGCTTGTTGTATGTACCAGCTGACATAATTGGGTTACTGGACCCCGGTGACAAAGCTAACTGAATGATAAGTATTGTACTAAACTGATGACTTACACAATACACAGTCATATGCTTATTGGTTTCTGGCATTTACATAACATGGAAATTAGTCAAAAAGTAAATCATTGAATTATATTTTTTTATCTCTGAGATTCAGCATAATATTGTTGCCCAAACACTTTTAATTGTCAGGTAGTATTACTCTGCATAAAACTATATGACATTGGCATGTGCTCTGAAGATAAATCTCTAACATCATTGCCTTATTTAGTGCAAGACTTGCACTTCCAGGACCAGAGGAAAGAAGATTAGTGAAATCGACAGTGCCTAATGCATCTGAAACTCATCAAACAACCATATTTGATCCAATGCCATTAAGCCAAATTGAGGAGAGTTGCTTCTTACGGGGTATTAGAAGCACTAATGAACCTATAATTGAAGAGCCACCATCACCTGAACATGAATTCCAGGGAACTTTAGAAAATGAGATAGAAGAAGTATTTTATGAAGATCCTTGTGAAATTCCTACCATAAATTTGAATTTGGAAGAGTTCACACAGAACTTGCAGAATTATATGCTAGAAAATATGGAGCTTCAAGAAGGTGAGATTGAGAAGGCTTTAGTTGCTATCACCAATGAAGCTGCTTCAATTCCCATGCCTAAGCTTAAAAATGTAAAGCGTCTCCGAACAGAGCATCTAGTGTAAGTGATTCCATAACTTCAATAGCAAGAAAATAGTGAATCCAGTAGTCTTCTTTAAACTAATTCTGTGATCGTTTTGCTTGATACAGCTATGAGCTTCCAGATGCACACCCTCTACTGGAAGGGGTAAATTTCTTTTGATATTACACCAGCTCCTTGTTTAAATTCTATAGTGGAATTCATTATTCATTCTCTTGAATGTGATGCAGCTAGAGCCAAGAGAGTATGATGATCCATGTCCTTACCTCCTCGGCATCTGGGCTCCAGGCAAGCAACTGTCTTGAATTTTGATATCATTATTCTTGTAAATTATGATTAACAGACTCTTCATCATGAATGCTCAACAAAAGGTGAAACCGCACAATCAACTGAACCACCAGGAACATGCTGCAATTCTCAAGAAATGGGTAGAATATGCAATGATATGACATGCTTTGCATGCAGTTGTAGACGAGAGGAACAAACTCAAACAGTCAGAGGAACTCTTCTGGTAACATACAAATTCAACTTGCAATGTAACTGTAGTTGTTGATTTGAATTAGTTATGCTTCCTCTATTAGTGGACAAAGGATGGTTTTGTTCAAGTTGCTGAGTAATACACTTGTCCACAAGAAGGAAAACATATAAGATTTTTTGTAGATAGAAATAGAATAAGTCTCTCGAGGAGTAATCTCATGCATTTGTTACTATTCAAAATATACCATGGACAGATACCATGTCGAACTGCAAATAGAGGAAGCTTTCCGCTGAATGGCACTTACTTCCAAGTTAATGAAGTAAGTAAAAACATTAGTTGTTATTGTTACTTTCTAGTATCTTAATGATGAATTCATTCTTGTGTTGTTTTATAATTATTAGGATGACATAAAACATATTTTGTTCAGGTATTTGCAGATCATCAGTCTAGCCATAGTCCATTGGTTGTTCCGAGGAGATTGCTATGGAACCTGCCCAGGCGGACTGTTTATTTTGGCACCAGTATTCCAACAATATTCAGAGGTAACAAGATTCATGCTTAGTTCATGAATGTACAATAAATTCTTAGATAAGATCCTGAGAAGGAATTAAAATTTCAGGTCTAACAACAGATGAGATTCGATTCTGCTTTTGGAGAGGTACACAATCAAAACATTGCAAAAAATTATCTTCATTTTGACTTCATGATATCTTCTACTTACAATAAGAATTATTTATTTTGGTCATCTTATAACCTGAGTAGGATGGAGCTCTTGCGATAATATATTGCTTGGCTGACAAAATCATGAATAATGCATGATTTGCCTATTCTTTGAAATATTCAAGATCTAAACATGTAACTAATTGAACAATCTGCTACACTATGAATTGACTTGGTAAAGGATTTTCTTAATGCAAATCTTTGAACACCATGATCAGAGATAACTTGCAATGAATCATGTCCAACCACTGTAGTTTTTCTCATCTGAAATAAATTCATGTGAATAAATGCTTTTTGCAATTTCAAAGGATCTACTGCTTTCTGGTAGGTTGAGTGCTTCCCTCTTGCTTTTGTCAAAAAAGATAAAGATGTACAGCTAATCTGAGTATGCACCTAAACTCATTAAGAGTTCGCACTTGATTTGTCAGCCATTTACATATACCAGGTACATGAAAACAATTCCTATAAGTTTCAGGTGGTCTTTCAGCCCTTAATTTCCGAGTTGTTGTCTACTGGTACTGAAATATATCCAGTAGGTTGCACACACGTCAAGAACTAAATTGAAGTGTTATTCCTTGGCAATCATAATTTCTCTATTTAGGACAGCAAAAGGAATGAAAACATGTAAACAATTGACAGAATAGTGTAATCCATACACTAAAAGCACAGGTTTCTACAACCATTTCAAGCCAAAAGAAAGAAAAATTAGCTATTGTCTCATATAATTGAACAAATTAATCTGAGATATGTGAACCACAAGATCGCATAACAATATATAATGTTTCTGATTTTGGCTGAGTTCAGTATTTGTCTTTTAAAATTTTGATGTGTAGAAGTTTGTTTTTCAAATTCAAACATTACTCTAAATTATCATATATTACCTACAGGATTTGTCTGCTTGAGAGGGATTGACCGACAAACAAGGGCACCCAAGCCTCTTAGTCCAAGACTGCACTTGGCAGCAAGCCATGCACAGAAGAAAACATCAATGAAGGTTGGGAAGAAGACTCAACATAAGACTGCCAGTAAAAGCTGAGCAGGATTTCACCTGTTGAAGCATGGCCTGGTGGCCAAATGTGTATATTATGGCAGCTCTACAATGATTCATTACATGCTTAATGTAGAGCCATTTCTTCATGGAATCAAAGTTACTCTGCACATAAGGAGGAAGGTGTTCTGTAGAGAGAAAGAAACCTTCACCAACTTGTAGCATTGCAAACATGAAGCATCTTAGAGAGACTGATCCAATGTGTAATTCCTTTCAAAGGACAGCTGAGAAAGATTTGGGTTCCCAAACCTTTCTAATTTATGTGAAGATAGATTTTTGGCTCTACCCCAGCAAATCTTTTTCAGCTAGCAATTGATGAGGCCAACATTTTTCATTGAAATGCAGTAGGATTTTTTTTCAAGTGTTAAAATCATGAGTTAAAAGATCAGTGGAGTTTGTATGCAAACTGATATTTACAGCCAAAAAAGATGACACACAGGAAACAATGAATGCCACAACATAAACTCTAAAAAGATTCATTGCAGATGACAAAACCAATCCAAGATTTGTTGCAGCCTCTCATAGGAACTTAATTTTGATGATTAATGGATTCAATTTTGGATCAATCAAGAAATCACAAGATCATAAATGACGTTTGGTTAATTATGTTTTATATTAATGAGGTTTACACTTTCATTGGTTTAGCATTGGATTACAATTGAAAACAGAGGATTAAAAAGGCTGATGAGGACAGAATGAGGGTGTATAATTTCTTCCAACTTTTAGAAAGACTGTATGTTCTTAAGAAGAAAGAAATGAATGAAATAATTACCAAAATAATTCCCATTGTGAAGAGGGCGTGAGATTATTGCATAGAAAGGAATGTGGAAGGCTCCCTTTCACCCCCCAAAAAAGGTGTAAATTAAAGGTAAAAAATTGCAATTTACCACTCTTAATGATCATTTGGATTTATATTAAGCATAAAATCATTGAAAATATTAAGAAACCAGTGTAGTAGGTTTGCGACATCTTCGGACGTCTACCTGCATCGTGATTGGAGGAATTCGTGGTTCACAGGAGGGTCCCACATGACTTGCTCTAGCCGAAACGGGACGGTCGAAGACGCGCGCCGCTGATGCCGTCTTCGCTCTCATTTTGGACTCCGTGACGTCATCCAGCGGACGAGTTTGAAAAGCCTCGATGGGAACCCGTTGGTTTCCGAGCATCGTTTCCCACACACTTTAGTTGTCACTTTCTTTACGTTTCCCCCTACACTTCACTCCCCTCTCCCTTCCTCTACTTCCTCTCTCGCGCAGCGACGCTCTTCTTGCTCGCCTTCCTTTCTCTCTCTCTCTGTCTCTCTCCGCTCTAAACCCTAACTTAGTTTCCTTGGAGATCGAAGAGGAGGAGAGGTTGAAGTGGGAAACCCTAGGGAAGAGAGAGAGAGAGAGGGAGAGAGATCGAGGCGGCTGCCGATGGCGGACAACCGGCCGCCGCAGCGGGGGGCCCGGCCCGGGCCTTGGCCACCGGCTGCAGAAGCGGGGACGGCCGCGGGGGCTCCTGCTCCGGCTCCGGCGCCGCTATCCTGGGCGAAGAGGACCGGGTTCAAGGGAAGGGTCTCCGGGGAATCCAACGCGAGTAACTCCGGCCAGATTGCGCTACCGAAGCCCAAAGAGCCGGGATCGGACCTGGATCTGGAGGCGGGGCGTAGGGGCCACGCAGCCAGTGCCCTTCCGTCGCCTCCTGTCCCGGCCGCTGCCGCCGCTGCCAATGGGGAGCCTGACAACATGGCCGGAGGAGGAGTAGGAGGAGGTGGAGCAGCCCCGTTGCCGGCTGATCAGACGGCGAGGAGCAGGAGGGATTCCGATGGTGGAAACAAGAATGCAGGTTTGGGGCCCAATGGACAGGCAGTACGGTCTGACCAGCCATTGAGGCAACGGAGGGAGCAGGAGACAGCCACGCTGCCTCAGCTAGAGGAGGAAGAGGGGGGCTTTTCGTTGAGACGGGTTCATATCAAGTATGAGCTGAGGGATAGTCCCGGTCTCGGTGAGGAATGATTGTTTTACCCCTTCTCAAGATTGATCTTTTTGATCGCTCTACTATGAGAACTTAATGTTATTGTTATGCATGCTTTAAATTTTCCAGTGCCCATATTCTTTTATGGTATTCAACAGTATCTGTCAATAATGGGTTCCTTGATTCTTATACCACTGGTTATAGTTCCAGCAATGGGTGGCACTCATGTGAGACTTCGTCTTCCCTGATGATAATCTTCTTTTCCATTTTCTGTAAATTTCAGGTTCTTATAGTTTATGAATGATTTGCAGGAAGATATTTCAGCTGTGGTGTCGACTGTGTTCTTCATCTCAGGTGTGACAACATTGTTGCACACATTCTTTGGAACCAGGCTACCACTAATACAGGGTCCTTCTTTTGTGTATCTGGCTCCAGCCTTAGCAATAATTAACTCACCAGACTTTCAAGGTCTTAATGAGAATGTATGTTTCTCTATGTGCACCCAGGAACATAACCTTCTATTTCTCATTCATAATGTCAAACTGAATTCTTGTTTAATGCAATGGATGCAATATTACTGCCAGAGAGACTAAAGTAACTAGGCAAAAAGCCTAATATCATATATCATTATCACTTGTATACTATGTACTTGACTAATTGCAAGTGAGTTAGGTGAAAGCACACACCTTATTAAGCATAGACAAGGATCCAGCAACCATGTTAGCTGAATGCTTATGTAGTCCAGCATAGTTTAACTCTTTCGCAAGATTGAATTATAAATAAAGTAAGCTTTTCTATATTATCTTTATTTTGGTGCTTATGATTTTGATACGAATTATATAATCTTTTTTTAACTTAAAAAAGATTCTATCTTTTGCAGAATTTTAAGCATATTATGAAGGAGCTACAGGGAGCTTTAATAATATCTTCTGCATTTCAAGCTATAATGGGGTATACTGGAATGATGTCATTGCTTTTAAGGTGTGTTCTTTCTGTTTTTCATGATCTAAGCTATCCATAAAATATTTCTTTGCTTAGCTTGATTGGTGTTGCATATGGATAGTTAGATATTCATTAATTTTTTTACAAGTTACTTAAAAACTTTGGTGGACACCATGCTAATTCATTTTCATTTCTTGATTGTTTTAGTGATCATGCACTTGCAAAATTGTATTAGGCTCTTTTCAACTTTAATAAGAGCATGGAATTCAGTTTAATGAAATAATAAAATTTTAAAAACTAATGCAAAATATGTTTGATGAGCATGGTTATGATTGCTGTCTCAGGAAGGTATGCCTGACTTGGTCGGTGGATAAGCCAGGTCCTTCTTCATTGTCATGTTTTCGGTCGACCGGATTGGTGAGTTGTACGCCTGACTTCTCGTGGATTGGAAAATTGGTTTGTCCAACTTCTGGAGATGGATGAACAGTTGATCTAATTCCAATATTTGGATTACAATTCCTTTCTCTTAAAGACAATGTAGGAGACTAGGATTTCATTCTAAGATGATGACTATGAAAATTACTAGCAAATTCAAATTTAAGATGGATAATTATGAAAATAAAAAAGACGAACAGTTTAGCGGATGAGTCTTCATGCATCACTGACTTGCACAAACAGTTCATGACAGCAGGAATGGGTAAAGAGTTCATGAGTGAGTATTAGCAACACAGAGAAGATATTTGATGCCATACAAACTATCATGGAAGTCAGCCTGATTTTTTATTATCGGTTACTCCTAGTCAAAATCATTTTGTGAAACTGGAAATGATTAATTGAATTTCATAGAATTGAAGTGGTGCAGATAAAGATTTACTTGTTAGGGCGAGTTAATAGGAAAAAAGCTCAGATAAATGTGAATACTAAATAATGTTTCTTCAATCCAAAGATGACATGTAAAAGGATTTCTTATGGCCTAAAGCGATATGGCCACATTGCTTGCTGACCCACTCATTAGAAATTATAATCAAATGGAGTAAGCAAAATTTAGATGATTAGTTATGCTGAACATCACAAAGCAAGTCAGGGAGGGTTAGGGGAGCATGATGCAGTCTGCTGCGAAGAAGCTTCTTGCTAGTTGCCGTTTGACTGGGAATTTGACATTGTTTGTCTAATTTGACCGTACATGTAATTTGGTGTTACCATCTGATATTTATGTAAAGAAGTCAAATTTTCCTCCTGCCAACTATTCCTTTTAATTGTTTCAATGATATTCTTTTTAAGGATTTTATAACATGTTAACAGATTATTCAAAATTTCCAGCTGTGTGCAAAATTCTTTAAATATCCTATTGAACCCTTCTCTTTGAGTTACACTTTACAGTTTGCATTATAGTGATGGGAAAAGTCTTCATTGAGAAGGATGATAGTTTGACCAGGGGTGTAGGTTGAATGATTTCTGTTGCAAGTTGAATAGTAATGTTACTTGTAGTAGGTCTATCACATATGTTTTTTAGTAGCATTGGCAATATTCAAAAATTGTATACTTGGCTGTTGATGTATGTGGACATCCTATTCAGTCTGATGTTGTGCAGTCTACTCTTGTGAGTACACCTCAAAAGTTGTTGTCTAATGTTCTATGTAATTATTTGGACCTTCCGGAATATCGCATCGCATATCTTGCATTTAACAGCTTGCCCAAGTGGTCTTTTTATAGTGACTTTCATTTCTCCGTTATGTTTGTTTTCTTGTATGAAATAAGACTTCACAGGCATTTTTATAACCATCTCCCGCACTCAGGAGGATCTGACTGGTAATTTTAAGAAGGTATAGTAGAGTTGCTTCTGCTGAAAGCCTGTGCCAAAGCTGATGAGGCTGGTTAAGCTGTTTTTCCAGAAGCTTCATTTTTCTGTAACTATTCAGCTGCTTAGAAGTCCATCCAGAGGCTTAGTCAAACTCTGAAAAATCTCATAGCATGGGACTAAACAATAATTTGAACTACGAACATCAATGATTAAATTAGATATATATTTTATATTTGGAGATATCTGTTTTGTTGGAGACACAAACAATTGATCATGCATTACATCTAAAACAGAAAAAATCAGCTGATCATACTCCTCGGTTGACCAGATATATATTTTAGTGCTCAATAGTAAGCCATAATAGCTGCAGCTGAATGTGTCATTGGTGTAATAACATGTTCTGCAATGTCTTCCTATATGATTTAGTGATACAAATATAATTTTATATGTATTGCTTCATTGTTACTACATTGATGGTGCTGGATTCCTGTGTCCTCCCCTCTGCCTGTTGTTTTGGACCTTCACATCATGTAATTTTGACTCAATCTTTGACTAAACCAATTGTTTGTTTCAGGTTGATCAATCCAGTCGTTGTATCTCCCACCATTGCAGCAGTTGGACTTTCTTTTTTTAGTTATGGCTTTACTCAAGTAGGAAATTGCCTGGAAATTGGTATGGTGCAGATATTGCTGGTTGTCGTTTTTTCACTTGTGAGTTCCAGCGACAAATTGATATATCTTGGTAGTTTAATGTATTGCCATTCTTTTAGTTTGCAGCTTATTATGCACCTAAGCATCTAGGGTTTATTTATGTGAATTTTCATCTGGCTACCTTTGCTGTTTTGTTGCAGTATCTTAGGAAGATACGCATATTTGGTCATCGAATATTTTTAATTTATGCGGTAAGCTTAATCACAGTTCAATCACTGACAATTGTTTTCATCCATAGCTAAAGTTAACCAAGTGACTTTGCAACATATCACCAGTTGAATATATTGATGTACAATTTACAGGTTCCCTTGGGTCTGGGAATCACATGGGCCATTGCATTTCTTCTCACAGCATCTGGTGTATATAGCTACGGAGGTTGTGATATTCATATTCCTGCATCAAATACTCTATCAGAATACTGCAGAAAGCATGTGCCAAGGATGAAACACTGTCGTGTTGATACTTCTCATGCCTTAAGATCTTCACCATGGTTTCGACTTCCTTATCCATTGCAATGGGGCACTCCTGTTTTCAATTGGAAAATGGCCATTGTAATGTGTGTAATATCCATTATTGCAACTGTTGACTCGGTAAATTACTTGTTTGCTTTACACTATTGAGTTTTTTGTCATGAATGAAATATCTGTTTCTTATGGCAATATTAGCTATTTGCTTATGTCTTTTGTTTTAGGTACACTATCTTTTTCTAACTGATAATTCTACCCTATGATGGAAGCCTGTATTTCAGAAGTTGAACTTTTAGATTGAATATTTAATATTACAATTTTTTTTTTCCTTTGTTGTAACTTAGAGCATATTGTTATCAACTTGCTCTTAAGCACACATTTCTGAGATTTTGATTTACACTGTCTACATTAACATTTTTTTCATTTCTTATGCTTTGCATACATTACCTTTTTTCTTTTAAGATTCTTTATTTAAGTGTGTAAAGTTTTATTCAAGGAGGTCAAGGTTTTGAATGAACATTTCTTTTTTTATTTCATGGTACTTAGAACAGGAGGCTACCAACAGGTCCAACACTGTATTAATCATTAACTGTCCATAGGTGCTGGTCAAGAATTATTAGATATCCATAATGTGGGCTAATATTAGAACAAAGGTCATATGACATGAACAAGTACTAGATTGAAATAGTGGAAGTAGAAAGGTTTTCCCTTTTTTTGTTTGTCTAATATGTTTTTCTTTCTCAAGGTCGGCACATACCACGCATCATCTTTGTTGGTAGCATCAAGACCTCCAACAGCGGGAGTTCTCAGCAGGGGTATTGGTATGGAAGGCATTTCTAGCATTTTCGCTGGTCTTTGGGGTACAGGAGTTGGTTCAACAACTCTTACAGAAAATGTTCACACTATTGCTGTCACTAAAATGGGCAGTCGCAGAGCAGTTGAACTGGGTGCTGTAATGTTAATACTTTTATCTTTTGTTGGTAAGGAAAAAAAATGATTTCCTTTTCTATGCATCTAAATATACTGAATTTTTTTGCCAACAAAATTAGAGAATACTAATCGCTAGTTTTTTTCACCTTGAAGTTCATGTATTTTGCCTGCATTTATTCTTATATTTCTCTTGTGATTGGTAATAACTCATTTTTCTTATGAACAGGTAAAGTCGGAGGCTTTATTGCTTCTATCCCTGATGTCATGGTTGCTGGTCTTCTTTGCTTTATGTGGGCCATGCTTGCTGCTTTGGGCTTGTCAAACCTACGTTACAGTGAGACAGGAAGCTCCAGAAATAATATCATAGTTGGACTCTCTTTGTTTTTTTCCTTATCTGTGCCTGCTTACTTCCAGCAATATGGCCTTGTTCCGAATGCAAATTCATCTGTGCCAAGTTACTTCCAACCATATATCGTGGCATCACATGGGCCTTTTCATACCGGATATAAAGGGGTATGTCTTGAGTCTTAATATGGATCAGCTTTACATTGTATAACTGACTTTCTATTTTGCACAATTTACATCCGAAAAGATAATTTTCACCATATTAGTGTTTATTTTTAATTGGTGTGTGTAGCATGGTGAATGAACATTAATCATTTCATATTTCAGAATTACGGCATGTCTGTATTTTCATAAAAATTGTGCAACCTTTGAACTTAAGCAGAAGAGAGTTGGTGAGTGTTGAGCTTGTTCACTTGGGCACTGGACTTTCAGACTAATAGTTAGACCACAGATATTTTTATATATTTATTTAATAGCATTCCTAGGATCAAAACGGAGCGGATGAACTTAGGGGTTGTTGGTTGCAAGAATCCCGCATCAGGAAATAGGATTAAGAAGTTTCAAGTGTTAATAGTACGGTGATGAGGTTACCAGAAAGTTTGATACTTGGTCAGAACTTTTTGGTGGAAGACAACAGTGAAGAAATGCAAATTAGAGATTTTTATAGACCTATAAAACCTAACTGGAACATGTCAGATATGGTGATTTGCTGGCGGATTTAGGTTTGGTTCAGCAAGTTTTGACCCATTGGGTCATAGCAGGGCCTAGAAGCCAATGTGCCTAACCCAAATATTTTGTCTGGTTAAGACCTAGTTTCCATAGGCCGACCGTTAAATAGGCCATGGTCCTTTTCTTACTAGTTTGGGCTCCAAGAAATCTACAAATTTCTACTAAAATATATCCTGCCTCTGGCGATCTTTGTAGTCATTGTGACTCATAAAGATCAACAATATAATTATGAAGAAGTTTTAGGTGTTTTGGCTGTGAACTTGATGAGCTGACATGCAACTGAAACCTGAGAAGTGGAGTTCCGTTCTTGTACAGTTTAGAATTTCTCATAGACCAATCATTAGGTCCAGATTGGATTTTAAGAACCAAACAATATATAATCTATGACCTGATTGAACCATTTCAAGAAATATATAATCTACAACTTGTGAGACCATAAACTGTATATTCGTATAAGCATGATGCTCTGTGGATCTTTCCGACAACTCGGGACCCTACTATAGTTGGGAACCACAGCTGTCTTTTCAAGGCTAGTTAAGTTATTGTTGCTTACAATTGTTTGTTCCATGCGCCTTCTGGACGGCGACTACATTTTGCCCGTCGTTCGCCTCTTCGACTAACTCTTTTCTTGTTTTGTTGGTCCTTTGAGACCACACGAGGTTGAAACTTTGATGTTATGTCATCTCATAGCAACTACACTGGATCATCTTAATGGTATTTTGAAGCTTGAAGTGCAGAAAATTTACTGCATATCTTGACTGTCTTGGTATACTTAAGGTTTCAAGTATATTTTGTCTCTGAAAGGTTTTTCTTTTCAAACATAGTATTTTTTTTCTTCTGGATTAAACAGAATGACGTCTGTAACAAATAATGTTAGGTCATAGAGTTCAGCTTAACAATGGCATGGAATGACTGTAATTCTTGGTGCAAAGATCTAATACACATCATATTATAATGTATCCTTGTTAATATGTTAGTCGGTTGATGATGACATGCAAGCTGCTAAAATCAGCATGTCAGATTCAGATAAAGTATTTCATGGACAAAACATGCTTTTTAACACTGATGAGAGTATTTTCAAAAATAAAAAAAGACAGTCATGAGGGTATGTGCTCTTATAGAATTAATGATGTCTGAGGTACTAATCATTTTCATTGTTCTATACCTTTCAGATAAATTTTGTCTTAAACACGCTGTTCTCATTCAACATGGTGATAGCATTTCTTGTTGCTGTGGTTCTCGATAATACTGTTCCTGGTAGTCGGCAAGAACGAGGGGTGTATGTTTGGTCTGAACTAGAGGCAGCAAGGAGGGAACCAGCTGTCACGAGAGACTATGAGCTGCCTTTCAAAGTTGGTAAAATATTCAGATGGGTGAAATGGGTTGGCCTATAAATGTGTCATCTAATAGGAGCAGCCTATCCAGGAGACACCATGACCAGATATTTTATTCATGCAAGCCAAGCACAGGAGGTCATCTCACAATTTGTACTGTTTCTCCAATCTGACATGAATGTCTGATGAGTTGCCTGTTCGAGGACCAAGATGAGTATGCGCTTTGTGGTTTGTTTGCACTTCCAAGATACCAATTTCTTGTAATTTATATAGCAGATTTTAAATTAAACAGCACGTGTTCCGTGGATTTTTGTGATCCATGAGGTATGATTAGATTTTGTTGGAGTGTTAGGTCCAAGAGTTTGTGAATGAGTTTTTGTACAGTTAATACACGTGTGGTATCCATGACTTTCTAAAAGCATGGCCTGTCTTATATCTGTTGTTTTTTTGCTTTTTTCTAGTTGTATACTGTTAATTCTATGGGTGTGCAAATCTTTTGTTGATCTTACTTTTATGTGCAGAAAGGATAACTGCACATTAGAGGGCAACTGGGATACAGGAGAATGTTGAAGAATATAGGTATCATTGCTCAACATCACAGCAGTCATGGCGGATGAAAGGCTCCTAGTGGGGCAGGTCTTTTTTTGTCAGTTTCAATGTATGTTCTGATCCTTTTGAATCCGAAGAGCCGGTACAGATGGGATATGTATCTGATCAATCTACTTCTATTTTTTCCAAGTTACTTGTTATCTAACTTATTAACTTGCAGATTGGCTTAATTTGCAGGTAGAAGTTATGCAGGAAAATGTTGCACACATTATATCAACGCAACTGTCTGATGGCAGATTGTTTATAAAGAGTGTAAAGCAATGTCATTTTGCTTGAGTTATGTTTTTATTTCAACAGAGTTAGAATTTGATGAAATAATATATTGATTGACACCATTATCGGGCTGATGGTTTTCTTTTTTTTGTCCTTTAAGCAGCTGCAGGCCACAAAGTCTTATCCGGTGATTCTTGCTTGATTGGATTCTGATCGCACAGAGTTGCTCAGGTAATTCTGGTGCCATAATTTTTCTTCCTATGTTATGCTAAACATGTGTCGTTTTTGGCTCACCAATAAAGGTGTGCCTTGGCTAGTGGTTTCATTAGCACTAAATAGTTGTAATTCGCATATAGAGAGCATAAATATTGTGCATGATGTGCTTTAATCGGGTCATCGGGAAATGAAAATATTTATAGGAACAGCAGAGGCAATATAACAAGAATTCAGCTAGGAAATGAATGGGATAGAGGAGATTTTTTTTTCCCTATCTAGATATAATTTCACTTGGTTTAGATAATCCAATGTGTTGAATTGGGTGCAATTCTTCAATGTGTACATGTGTTCCCTTTGGGTTGGTATTCAGATCAAGGAACAAATTCAAATGGATAGTTCCAGTTGTAGCTCTGCCCAACATACAAGAGCAGTGTATATAAACAACAAGATGTTAGTTTGTGAAACCTGATAATTTATAATTGCAGAACCATTGTGAAGATTGTTTGCTAGTGTTAACCCAATATGCCGCTAGGAAGCCACTGCCGTCGGGTCACGTTCACCTAGTTGTCACATACCAGTTTTAAAGATTCAATATATGCATAACATGTTCAGGAACGGCTAAAAGACTAAATGATATTAATCATTAATTTATACCTGGGTTTTGTAGGAGCTAATTGATTGCATGTTAAGTCTCTCCTTAATCCCTATGATTACTTGAGTCGCCTATAAAAGGACCCTTGATCAACTTAAACTAAACCACTCCAAATTTTCATAATACCACTATAACATAATTTTAAGATAACCAATATCATTTTTTATTTTTAAAAATTTTATAATTATTAATTATTAAATTTTGAAAGAGGAGGAGAATAAGAAGATAGAGGTACAAAGAGTAAAAGGAGATGGGGGATATGGAGATCGAGCAAAAGGAGGATAAAAAGAGGAGAAAGACGAGGTAGAGGCCAAGGCAAAGACTTAATTGAATCGGTTTAGAATCGATTTAATTTCGAATGTGATTTCGAATGACTCATGAGCTACTAATCCATTTGGTTTTGGTTCATGAGATTCTATCATTTATTAAAATAAATACCTCAGGTAAAAATAATAAGGGCTCCATCGGATTCAAAATTAATAGTGAAATTTTTTTCTGATAAAATCCTTGAAATTTTAGTCTATTATATTCGACTATTAGATATTATATTCAATTTTGATATCGTTATTAAATAACGAATGAATGTTGATAAGATGAAACGTTCTAAAGAAGGAAGGATTTGGGGGGAACCAATCCCTCTTCCCTCGTCCAACTTGCTTCGCTGTCTGTGGGCCCACCAACCATCAATGGCTATGTTTTCATCTGCGATCACACACGCAGTCGCCCGGCCGACATTTGCTGTCCCTATCACCCCACCTCAGTTCTCGTATCTCTCCTTCCTCGTCTGCTTTCCGCCTCCTCCTCGCCACCTAATTAAGGCGGAGTTGGTTTAGCCAAACCCTTGTTTTAACATCTGTTCCCCTTCTCGTAGTGTATTACAGTCTCCATAACTATCCCCGACCGCCAGCAGCAGCATGTCGCCCATGGCCGCAGCTCTGCTCTCCTCGCCCCCCAAGGTGATACCCACTACGGCGCCCCCTGTCGCCGCCGCCGGATCCGCTCTCCTCCTCCGCAGCCGCCACGCACTCGCCCCCGTGAGGTCCATTCTCCGCCCAGACTCCTCCGCCCCGTTCAACCGCGCCGACTGGCAGGCCTCCTGCGCCATCCTCTCCAGCAAGGCCGCCGCTGCCACCGGCTCTTCCTCCGACAAGCCGCCCTCTCCCTCCGGCGACCCCCCCGCCGCCGACACCGAACCCGACAACGACGGCGGCGGCAACAACCACCGCCCCCCTTCCGCCATCTACGGCGCGAGGACTTCGCTCGATCCCGTCTCGAACCTGCCGCGGCCGCTGACCATCTCGGACCTCTCTCCGACGCCGATGCACGGGTCGCGGCTCCGCGTGGCGTACCAGGGCGTTCCGGGCGCGTACAGCGAGGCGGCGGCCGGGAAGGCGTACCCCAACTGCGAGGCGATCCCGTGCGACCAGTTCGAGGTGGCGTTCCAGGCGGTGGAGCTGTGGATCGCGGACCGCGCGGTGCTCCCAATCGAGAACTCCCTGGGCGGCAGCATCCACCGCAACTACGACCTGCTTCTCCGGCACCGGCTCCACATCGTGGGGGAGGTGCAGCTCCCGGTGCACCACTGCCTGTTGGCGCTCCCAGGCGTGCGCAAGGAGTATCTCACCCGGGTGATGAGCCACCCGCAGGCGCTGGCCCAGTGCGAGCTCACTCTCACCCGCCTCGGCCTCAACGTCACGCGCGAGGCCTTCGACGACACGGCCGGCGCCGCGGAGCACGTGGCCAGCAAAGGCCTGCGGGACACGGCGGCCATCGCGTCGGCCCGGGCGGCGGAGCTGTACGGTCTGCAGGTGCTGGCGGACGGGATCCAGGACGACGGCTGCAACGTGACGAGGTTCGTGATGCTGGCGCGGGAGCCCATCATCCCCCGCACCGACCGCCCCTTCAAGACCAGCATCGTCTTCGCCCACGACGGCGAGGGCACCTCCGTGCTCTTCAAGGTGCTCTCCGCCTTCGCCTTCCGCAACATCTGCCTGACCAAGATCGAGAGCCGCCCCCACCGCCACCGCCCCATCCGCCTCGTCGACGACGCCAACGTCGGCACCGCCAAGCACTTCGAGTATATGTTCTACATCGACTTCCAGGCGTCCATGGCGGAGACCCGCGCCCAGAACGCCCTCGCCGAGATCCAGGAGTTCACCTCCTTCCTCCGCCTTCTCGGTAGCTACCCCACGGACATGACCCCATGGGGCCCCACTTCCTCCTCCAACTCGCCGCCGTCGCCATCCTCCTCCTCCTCGTTAGATTAGAGCAGGGGAGTTGTGGGTATTTTTACCTCCTATAATTACCATGATTGGGTGATGATGCAATCGATCGACGAATCGAACGGGTGAGATTGCTTTACAAAGAAAAACCTATATTTGTGTCGTGCTGCAAAGCTAAAAGGCAAAATCACATTATTAAATGAATCGAATCATCTAAAGTTGAAGAGACGTAATTGAAGCTTTAGAGTACCGCCGAGATTAGGGGGCAATTAGCTACATCTTATTTCTCGAAAGATACCTCTAATGAGTGATCGTTTGGATGATTTGACGACCTTTTTATCTGATATTTGTCCTCCCAAAATTGAAATTAGATTGACGAGGGATGATATAGATTCGCTGAATTCTCAAAAGAAAAAAAAAACTTCGGTTTTTCAAGGAAATGCATCTCATTTTTTAAATTTTTTAATAGTATTTTTTGTGTGATACCGAATGTTTATTTTTTTTGCTATGGATGGGTTGAATTGTAATATTTTTACATTATGTTACAGTATCTTTAATAATACTAAGAAAATATTATAACACGGTATAAAAATATCGTAGTTGTAATATTTTTGTTTTGCATTACAATGTCTTGTTGTTATTATTGAAAACAATGTGACATTGTGTAAAAATATTGTCAAAATTTGTACAAAAATAATGTGTTACATTATTTTTGTACAATGTTTATAGTATTCTTCTAGTATACTACAAATACTATAACACTTGTGAAAATATTGTAACTGAATCCGTTCATCATATATACTAATCCATAGGAAAAGAGATAGGTGACTAAGGGTATTTCAGGTATTAGATTTAAAAAAACTACAATTAGGGAAGTCTGAAAATGAAGGTATCTCTAGAGAAAAACTCAAAAAGAATTTTTTTTCTAAAATTATTCATAAATATATATATATATTAAATTTATAACTCTATTTTAAATTTTTTTAAATATTTTTTAATTATTTTTTTAAATATATATATAAATATTTTTTTTTCTTCCTCCTTGGAGGATAATGTCGAGGTGGCAACGAGTAACATCGAAAAAAAATCGAGCTACGATGATAACGAGCGATGTCACCTCCGATTACACCTGAATGATAATAGCATCAACAACGAACGACATCCATAGTAAGTATGGTTGACGAAGACGATATCGGTAGAAACTAACATCAGTAATAAGAATGAAATAAAAGATTACAGAAATGGGAAAAAAATAAAATTGATAATACAAAAATTATAAATAGTAAAATTATATTTTATTAATTTTTAAGAAAAAAATCAATAATAAAATAAATTATTAATAGTAAAATAAGGACGATACATAGTAAGCTTCATTTTATATATATATATATATATATATATATATATATATATATATATATA